CCAGGTTCACAAGATCAATCAGGAACCATTAAGATGCATTTTGTGGGATATAAGGGAGGAGGCAATGAAAAGTACATCAGCTGAGAAGTCAATTTTTCTACTTACAAGCAAATGTATGGAAAATTGTGATGGGAGTTAAATGACAATAGCTTGTGAAGATTACTGGAATAACTGATGAGTAATAAACAATACACGTGAGCTGCTATTAATCATTGCCCATAAAATATCCATACAAATTATATATACACATACATATAATGAATAATCATGAAAATGTGAACTTGGCCAATGTCAATATTTCATACTCAATTGACTAATATTCAATATATGTCATACAAAGATCTAATCTTTGTTTTGATGACAAACAAAGCAGATGTCATCTGCTTTGCCATGGGAACAGAAATGTGATACATGGATTTTAATGTGACCCCATGATAGAGCCAATATTAATTAATTAGTTAATGTGAGGAGTCACTCAATAATGTGGGGATTTCCAGCTCTGCACTTGTGAATTTAATATAATTGCTACCCTGACACCCATTTTGGGGACTGACATAAGTTACCTGAACCTACCTAATTAAAACTTCTCCTTTCCATGTGGTTGTTTTTGATATATTAGCCCACTTATTCAACTCACTGATCCCAGACCCAACATATTCCACAGCTGGGGGCCACATCAATCCAGTGGTTAACTCTAGAGTCATGTAAGTCATGACTTTAAGCCATCCCATCCACAGCCATCTCGAGATAGCCTAAAAGATCCCTCCCACTGACCTGAACTCAGGTATAGCCCCACAAGTCCTGTCTATATCCCCAACCAGTGGTTGAGCTCCCTGTTACCTCCAAGCTTCTCATTGTCTCCAATACTCCTAACCTCTCTGGGACCTGTGAGGTAATAATTTGGGTTTCACTTCCTCATTGGCTTTCACCTGATAGATACACCTAAATATAACTACCTGCCCCCCGCATCAGAGTTTTCCTAAAAAGTGGCTGGCTATCCTGGTGTATAGCTACTCTCAAAAGAAAGACCTCAAGTCCAAGTTAGAAAGATACCATAACAGTAGAAATCACTTAAATATAATTGTATATATATATATATATGCCTTTAAATATCATATTTGTAAGCTACCCAAGGAGATCTGTGGATTATTTTCCTCCACAAACTTCCTGAACTTTCGGTACCAAAATTTAGAACTGAGTACTAATGTAAAAGACCTTGTGGGAGGCTGTGTATTTTTTTCGGCAAAGATACTAGAACCATATACAAATGATTTGCATATTATTTCCTATTGATCATGCTTTTCCACACTAATAGCACACACAATGGGCTACATAATTCAAGTTTTCATGAGGTTTGGAAACAGAAGTTCTCAATATTTGAAACCCAGTAACCATCTGCACCAGAATCACTGATAGGCTGGTTAGAAGCCCTCTTCACTGCACATCTCACCCCAGGACATAGCAAATGAGAATCTCTTGAAATGGGGCCCAGAAACCTTTACCTTTAACAAGTTTCCTATATAATCCTTATTCAGAGTGAAGTCTGGGAAACACTGGGTTTAAGATACAAGGCCTGGTGTTCACTTGCTGGTTATTTGTCTAATAACAACCTTTGCATTCAAAATCTCTTGGTGACACTATTGAAATTCAGTCTTTCTTTGCCTTAAGAACACTTTAATTATCATTCTAAAAATGAAGTACTTTTCAGTGTTTTCAGGTAAGTGTTGTGGATTCAGTGTAACTGAAGATAGCCAAAAAGGAAAGTTGCAGTTTCTTGCAGGCTGATTCACGATTTTCAGAGCACAGACCGAAGTAGGTAGCTTCTCTGTACTATCGTTGCTCTGGTACAGAGAACTACTCTGCTAGTTCTTAGAAGTGAGCTATTCCTCCCAGGTCCTTGCACTTCCAGTTAGGACATCGTTACCCTTGTCACAGTATGCTAGAAAAGAGCCTTGAAAATTTGGCATTCTGTACAGGCAATGATTATGCTTGGTAATTTCTTCCCAGAATAATTGTGAGATTTCTCCTAATTCAGCAACTGCTCATTTTTGGTGAACGATGGTCAATATTTGTTATTTTTTTTTCTTTTTCTCCATGTTACATTTGCTCAGATCATATTTATTGAAATGTAATTTCATGTCTAAACTTAAAATGAAAAAATGAGATTTCTATGTTATATGTTTTTGTACTTCATTTTTTTTTGTATTTTTCAAATACACAGCTATGTGAAAGATTTTAAAAATTGATTACTTCATCAAAGATATACTGTGGAGCAATGCTATACACAATTCTCCTTTAAATGAATTCAGAAAAAAAATCACAGCTCTGCTTGAACATGTTCTCATCTGCAAAACAGTAGAGGGTCAGACTGGATCATCGATGAGAGTCTCTAGCTCTGTGGACAGAGTTCTATCTCATTTATCTACAAGTGTGCTATTCACTTTGTGAATGATCCGTGACAAAGTTCTATATCTACAGGTGACTTTCTACTGCCTCTCTTCATAGCTCTGAACCACTTCTCCTACTATGAGACTTTATGGATTTAAAGAATAAAAAGTACTTTAATAGTAGCCTAATCATGATGTAATTAAGAAAGGTAATTTGGTACCAAAAATATTACATAATACACATCAAAGATAAACTGCATATTTCTTACCATCTGCTACTTCAGACTACCATTCCTGCCTTCCACTAATATGGGTATAATTTCTTCACTTTGTTTTATATAAAGTGAGGAAAACTTAACATGACTAATGTGCAAATCCACTTTTGCTACTTGTCAACTTTTCTCACCATCTCTTTCACATTAGCCATGGTACATGTTGTTTTTACATTTTTATTGATGATCACATCATAACTTTGTTAACTTGTACTACATGAGCAGGCTTTAGTGCACTAGGAACTTAAAAATCAAAGTCTTTTATGTTAATAACTTATTTTTCTTCTCCAGAGGAAGTGTAGACAAGTGTAAGCAAGTTTGAAGTTCCATTCCATTGAATAAACTTCTGTGTCTGGGAACTACATCTTCTGAGTTGGTTCTCAAAATCTGCACATTTACATCTAACATCTAACGAGGTGTTCCTCATGTATGCTTAGAATAAGTAATGACATCACAATATGCATTCCAGTTGGTGTTTTCAAAATGTGCTGACCCTCTGAAAGTCTCCAAATGGCTTCTTTGTGTAGTGTTAAGGACCATCTGGCTAGTTGAAGATAAACAAGTTTCAACATATGGACCAGAGAACATACACGGCTCTGCTCCACTAGTGCAGAAAATTAAGAAAAGGTCACTCTCTTGATATAAGTGACTTGTGCAAAAGAACCATCCATGTAGTGGACAGCTTGCCCTAAGGTGCACATGGAAGAGCTCAATTATGGTTCCTGCTCTGCCGCTTACTTGGAATGCCACCTGATCATGCCAAGTTTCTTCAGTTCCTCATACGAAAAACAATGCCAAGTCACCTCCTGTCCTTCCTTCCTTTCTTCTTTGCTTCCTTCCCTCTATCCCTCCTTCCTTCCCATAAAAAAAACACTAATCCATGCCTACCATATATATGTCTCCAGCATGGTGCTAGGTAAATGGGCATATTGCTAAGGAAAACAATCAGGATACCTGCCCTTGAAGAATTCCCAAACAATGAAGAGGACACCTTTCAAATGACTATCCCAGACAGAGGGGGAAAGCATATGTGAGGGTCCTGAGATGGGAAGGAGCATGGATTGCTTAAAATAATTCAACATTTGTAAACATTTGTATCCATTAAACTGGGCATTTGGTTGGTAATTAAAATGCTGAAAGGAAAATTTGCACCATCTCCAGATGGCAATGCAGACAATTATTAGACTAGCATAAACTCTTTGAAAAATAGCTTGTATCTTTAAGTCATATTGTTGGTTCCATGCCTGCAATCAATGAATCTAATAAAACTGTATGAAAATATAGCCATCAAATACATATACAAGCATCTCACGCAAAGGGTGAGATGCTTATGTATGTATTGTATATGTAAATGCTTAGAGAGTTTTGAAACCGTTTAGAGGAAACTCAGGAACTGTGAGTGGCACCTATCTCATATTTACAGAATAAAAACCAAACACTAAGGCAACAATGATTCAGTTACTTTCATAAGTTCTTCACTTCCTAAGCATGGCTTGCCAGTACTCAGCCTTGCCAGAAGATGACAGCTGACACCGTAGGGTGAGATAAGAGATTAGTCATAACAGTCATTTGTGCTTCAGCATTCACAAAATATATATAAATTGTTTACTTCAGTGATTTATCTTGATTCTTAGTTAAAATGAAAGCTGTACCTCTGGCACAGACAAATGATGCCACACGCAGAGTTGTATTAATTATTGGATATTTTTCTCATTACCTTCCAGTTGCTACCCTTTCTTTTCATTTAGTGCTGCCAAACACTTAGAGCACAGTGTCTAAATGAAGTACAGCCCCTGTAGCCAGAATGAAGCAGATAGTTCAATACTTGAAAATTCAAATTAGGTTGAATTAGAGTTTGACTACCTAAGGTTCTAAGAAATGGGAAAGAAATACACTTATAAACATAAATCAATCCCACCAAATAGGCTCTGTTTTATACTACAGGGAAGAAATATGTCACTCCCTACAACTTGCTAGAGCACTTACTCTATGTTGTGACAATCTGAGATGTGCCTGTTTTCCACCTGATGGCAAACTTATTAAAAGGACTATGCTGTAGCCATCTTTGTTCCCTCGATGCTTACAGTGTTGAATACAGCAGGAGCCCAGTAAATGCTCACTGGTCAAATCAAGGAATGAACGGTCACAGTTTAAAAACAAAATGTCATTAAATGGATGTGTCCTTGTGTTGAAATGGAATTTAGTACAGAACTGTTAGCCACCTGTTAGGATTTTAGCAAACACTTATAGTTGGCCCTTCTGCCATCCTTCGTATAGCAGCATGTATGACGTCACACCTTTTATTAAAAACCAGCACTTAAATCAGTTTATTTGGGCTATAAATAACCTTTATTTGATATAATATAATAAAACATTTTCAACTTTAACAACATGTATCAGACCATAGTTAATCATTTAAATTATTAATATAAGTATATATGTCACTTTAGCAAATCTGCGGTTCAGGAATTTGTACAAGCTTTGTCTGAAAGGACAGTGCCCACCTCCCCCTTGCAAAAGGCAGCCCTTCTCTGTCTCTGTTAAGAAGCAATGTCAACGTCCATCGAAAAAAGTCCATAATCCACACCGGAAATCCACTTTTTCCTGTGAGAGGACAGCTTCCTTCATTGTAGGAAAATAATATTCTCTTTCAGTTCTCTTTTATCAAACGAAGATCTGCATTCTTTTTTTTTCTCTCCTTATAGTTACAGGTGCTCTCCTCTGACCTACCTGCCTTCCTGTTTTCTTAGCTTAGACTTACTACATAGTTCCATTTCTTACAAAAATACTATCCACAATGGGACCATTTCTGTTTTCTTATCTGCCTTTAACAACACCATTTTTTATTTGGGGGAGGGGGTTAGTGGACAGAATTACTCAGGCACACATTTGATTTAAGATACAGAAAACAAGGAAACAAACTCTATATAGATGAAACAGGGTGGTGTTCTGGAGCATCCGTCAACAGGGGTGCAGGTGACCTCCAGTTCACATAACTCAGTTGAATGTACATATTTACGCTCCGTCTCCAGAAGTACCACCACCCTCCGTGTAAACCTATTTTGCCCACGTCTTCCTTATAACATACAGTATAGGGACCAGCCCCGTGGGCTCAATGCACCCTTGTATAATATGATAGTAAACAACATGCCAATAATCATGTTAATATACAATGCAGTTAGGTAGCCCTCTCTCTTCATTCAGGTAATCCTCACAAAAGGAATCCCCTCACTTCTCAGGACCCCTCAAATGTGTGAATCCAAGAAAAGTCTTTTCAGATTTTATTCCTCTCTCCATCCATCTTTTCCTGAGTTACACCATAACAGTAAGGAAGTTCACAAAGAAAGTACATTGGTGAGAAATCACAGGGACCCTGCAGAAAAGCCATACTATTTGACAGAAGCTTGAAACAAACACTGCTCTGAGAAATCGTTTGTATTAGCTGATGACTGGATTCTGTTTTCTAACACGACATGCAACATATTCAACACTATGCTTACCATAGTTTGCTTGGAAAGACACCCTTCTGTCATACAATAAAATACATTCTGCCTCATGAATGACTCCTGAATATTCACCGCAATGCCTAGACTCAGAAGCATGGGAAGTGTGCATTGGAACTTGTTCCAGCTTGCATGGATATGGATGTATGCAAAGCACCAGAAACTGCTTCCTTCTGGAACTCAGTTCTGTTAGTGTGCTCACTGCTGAGATGATCTGACTATCTTACACTGAGAATTATTTTCATTTGCACACAAAATAGCACTGATCCACAGAAAAAAAGGAGAGGTCATCATCTCCCCGGTAAAATACTTTGTACAACAGATCACTGTTGGTCACATTTTAGATCAAGAAAGGATAGAAGCCACATTCCATTTTGCAGTCTTGGTAAATGATTTCGTTCTGTTTCCGCCCGTTTTGCCTTGTTTATTTCATCTCCATTATTCCACCTTGGATCATGACTCATGACCTTTTTTCCTACAGTTCAGACTTTTGTCTATAAAAGAGAAAGAAAGAGAGAGACAGAAAAATGTTTTAGCAGAACTGTGAGTTTTCATTTGGTGGTGGGTGGATTTAATATTTTACAGAAGTCAGTAATCTGAATTATTTGTGGCTTATAAGGGTTTATGAACATCTCCAAAGGGAAAGAAAAAGTGCTGTGCCTCTTTTCATAAATTTTATAACTTCCACAAGTTGCCAATCCCTTAATATATTTGCAAATCAACCGCAAATAACCCAGTTAGAAATTGTCTTTGACAATACAACTCTTGCCAAAACTGGCTTTGCTCTCAAAAATCTTTGCAAAATACTATAGCACTTGCCCTACTTGAAAAAAAAAAAGACTACTAATGAGAAGTGTCCCCCCCTCTTCAGACTAGGAAGGTATGTTACTATAATCTGTATGTGCAGAAACTGGAAAATCCTTCCCTTGCTTCCTCCCACCCATACTTACAGAAGTGGCATGAGTCATGAAGAACTGTTAGCTAACGGCAGAGAAAGACTCCTTTTCCCCTGGTATACAGCCATGTTCCCCTAACTCCACACCTGTATGGGCCTCAACTTACCACCCTACACCTTGTGCTTAGGAGCTGGATCTAGTAGGTACAAGCCTAGGGCTGTGTTCCTAGCCTCAGCCTCCTGACCCTGCTGAAAGAACCCCTATCTCTTAGCTACTATGCCTTCTGTCCTGTTCACCCTCATCTCATACCCCTCCCAGCCCCATCATTCAGATGGGTGACTCTATGGATGGATTTTCCTGATCACAGGGTCCGTTTCTCCATAGGACAGGGTGTCTGGCTTTGCTCCTCAGTCTCCCACAATGATGCCTGGGGACAGAAGGTACAGGAGCCCAGACCCAGCTCTCCAGGATCCTGGTTATATGAGAGTGGGGACTGGAAACAGGTTGTGCTTCACAGTCATGCTTCACAGATCTGGTCGGACCTTTGCTTCTTCCTCAGTTTGAGGACAGACCACACCTATGCTTCCTCTGCAGCTCATGTGCACTCACACCAGTTCATGAACTCTACTGAATTCCTCCAGGACTCAGCCACAGCATCATCTACAAGTCCTTTTCCTCATGACCCAACTGCTACCAGTCACAGGGTCACAGGGGGATTCCAGCTTCCAAATAGCTTGGACACCTGTGGCCTCTTTCCCAGGCTCAAAACTAGCCTCCCGGTGCATGCCTTCCTAACAGGAGACCCCACTCTTACATTAGTCTCCTCACTCATCTCCCTTCTCTTGTTGTGACCCTGCCTCCCTGGTTGCATGATGCCCCCACACAGTCTGGTCTTACTCCTGCTCAAAAGTCTTCACCTCCTTCCTCCAATCCCTGCCCGCCTGTCTTTCTAGGCTGACCCAAATCTACCCAGTTTCTCAATATTGCTGAAGATATGCCCCAGGCTCCTCATCCACCTCCATCCACAGCTGCACCACTCTGACCTTGCTGTCAATCTGCTTTAAAAAGCCCCTACCCCCACCTCCACTCCTACCACCCTTTCTTGTTAGAATCCTACTCTTTCTTTAGTCCCACCTCAATGCATATTTTTCTTATGCATCCCTCTGTACTGTTTGATTTTACATTGGACTATGTGTATTTATTATCTAGTAAGAAAACGAAAGATAAAGCAAAAGAGGATAGGACTGGAGATGTAGCTCAGTGGAACAATGTATGCTTAGCACATGTCAGGCCCCTGGGTTTAATCAGCAGCATTTGGAAAAACACAAAGTGGGGGTGGAGAGAGGGAGAGAGAAAAGGAGGGAAATTATCTGTCTTTCCCACTTTAAGGAGTCATGCAAAGTTAAAATGTAAGCAATCGCAAATCATAAAGCAAATAAGCTATTATTATTACTAATTGATGATTTAGTAAAAGTAAAATGTTGAATTTCAGCTAATTGATGATGAAGAAAATACTACTGCAGAGGATTTTATCCATGAAATAACAATTTTTTGTTTGTTTGTTTCAGTCTTTAAGGCAACAGCCCATCATAGACACCCAGGGTTTTAGGAGCTGTGATGGTTCTAGTTTCCTCTGGGATCTATTTCATTTTATTTTATTTTGTACATCACTGGTTTCCATAAAGAAAGGGTAGAATCACCCTGATTTCCACAAACTCTGGAGCAGCTTATTGACAGAATTCATGGCAGGAATTCAAGGTTACTCTGCTAAAAGTTACTGCTTAGAACCACTGCAACTGACAGGGATTATAAGAGACTCTTTGAAGAGAAAAACAGTACAATTGCCAAAGAGAAAAGGGGAGAGGGAAACAAAGAGCTACTTGGAAACAATTTCTTGACATTCTTTTAGATGGAAGTATTATAGAAACCGATTTTCAGTATTGATCATAAATGGTATCAAAGACAGTCATTGAAATTAAAAGTGATTTATGGCAATTCAAATAAAAAAAGAATCCCTGTTTATATCACATTATCATATTTGGTTGGGTATTATCAGTATTTGAATACTTGTGAAAGGATGAAAATGATTAACATTGATAGTATTGAATTAAAATTACCAGTTCAAAAGTATTCGCGGCATTTTCCCCACTATTCACTTCGTTAACCCAAGGAAAATTCGCGAGTCCCTGCTGGGCTTCTGAGACTCTGATCAAGAAAATGGGAAAAAAGTGGATAAATAATAGGAAATAGCAACACAGTCTAGTAAATTGTTCACATAGGAAAGGAAAGTGGTTAACGCAGGAGGGGAAAACCATGGAGTCAGTAAGGCACAGGAGCAAAAGTAATAGGGACTGGAACACAAGCAGCCAGATGCGAAGCAAGAGCTGGAGAAATTAAGGAAGGCATGGCCATTGGATGTATGAGAACCAGAGCTCTGTGGCAGGGTTAGAAGACTTGCTGGGAAGTATAAACTGGATGCCCTTTGTCATTCTTGCAGAGACACTAGAGACAGGTTATGTGTTTTAGACCCGTTGGAGATTATGAGCTATTTGAGGTTATCTAACTAGTGTTTGCATGAAAGCAACCGTGCAGTGTGGACCATGTAGGTTGTTATTCTAGCTAGAAGCCTTTGCAACACCACAGCCACCTGGACTTCCAGAAACAAGTACTATCGCTATTCATCTCTCTACTCTCCCCCCATGCCCAGCACCATGTCTTACACCCCATAGGACCGCATGTTCCTGGAAAAAACAAACCAACAAAGAGACTCTTTATATCCAGTCTTTACCTTCTGATTCAACCCACACGGTGCCACAGAATCAGTCATCACTACTTTGATGACTACACTGTCTGGTTGCAGAGATTCATGGACAGACAACTACTGTCCACATTAAGGTATCCCAACTTTGGCAATAGAGTCTGGGTAATTCTTAGCTATTGGGATGCTGATATCTATATCGTAAGATCTTTAGCATTTCCTCTTATTTTGATGTCAATAGAAACCTCTCCCTATACTCCACTTGTGACAACCCAAACATCTCCAAACATTGCCAAATGTATGCAGGGGAGGGGGCAAATTTACTCCTGGTTGAGAACCACTTATCTACACTAAAAGCCCAAATTCTTGAAGCTAACATAGAAGATCCTTCATAATTTTGTCTTGACTACATTTCTACTCTGATCTCCAACTCTTCCCTCACCCAGTGCTTAGCCTCAGTCAGACTGTCTTTTGCATAAGCTCCCACTTATGGCGCCTCTATGTAAAATGTCCCCTTTACCTGGGACAACACTTCTGTTCACCTTTAGTTTTCCTTTGATCACCTCATAGGCATACCAGAGCCCATATCCTTCAGGAAGGCGTCTCTGATCAATCTTAGTGTAAACTCTGAGATATTTTCCTCTTCTTTGAATCTATAGTTTTCCTGCCTCCACCTTTCCTGGTACAAAAACGCTGAGTGCATATGTCTTGGTCTGCCTGGGCTGCTATAACAACATACCATGAACTCTGTAGCTTATAAACACCAGCAATTCATTGGTATAGGCTGGGAAACCACCATCTATATACCATCAAACTTCGTGTCTGATGAGAGCTTCTCACTATATCCTCACATAGTGGAAAGAACACACGAGTTCCCTCAGGCAACCACCTCCTAAATGGCCTACCTTTTAACACTATTGCATTGGAGACTGGATTTCAACATATGACTTTTAGGGGAACATAAACCTTCAAATCATAGCATATGTGTGTGTTTCTATGTGGTATTTCCAACAGAAATATATTCACAAAAACAAGGAAGAGGTCACATATTTTCTGTATCATCCACCTCAGTTTATGGCAGTTAAACAAAAAAACTAAAACATAAATATGACAACACTATCTAGAACACTGCCAGGTTTAGAATTAGAAAAATAATGGCTACGACAACTGTAGAATAGCTCTATCACTAGAAATTTTTTGAAGTTGTTTGGTATTTTTAGGCCAATCAGCTTAAATGATTTGAATGTCCTATAATTCAAGCTGAGAAAGTGGTAATGAAGGAAGAGTCATTCTCTTAAATAAAGAGGCAGCAGACTATAGCCTGTGGTCTGAATCCATCTGGTTATCTCCTTTTGCAAATAAAGTTTTAATGGTACACAGCAATTTCTCCCTTATTTCAGTGAATGACAAAGGGAAGGACAAATGGTTTTGATAAACACCCTGTTGCTAGCAAAGGTTAAAATATTTAATATTTGGCCCTTGACAGTAAAATTTTGCTGACCCTTGTCTTAGACTAGCAGGAAAACAACACCCAAGCCTCCATACTAACTAAAGATACAGAAGCAAATGCCCTTGTACTTTAGATTGGCCGATTTATTTTATAAAAGTAGCATGGAAACTAAAGCACTTTTAAGCACAAACTTCCTGGGTTCAAATTCATCTCTATCATTCTCATCTGTATGACTGTGGGAAAATTATTTGATCTTTTCAAGTCCTTATTTTGTCATCTTCAGAACGAAGGTGAAAAAAAAAATACTAACCCAGGGCTGGGATTGTGGCTCAGTGGTAGAGCACTCGCCTCGTGCGTGCAAGACCCTGGGTTTGACCTCAGCACCACATAAAAATAATAAATAAAATAAAGGTATTTTTTAAAAAACTAACCTATCATGAAATTTTGAGGATTGAATGATAGAATTTTCATAGAGTCTGATTACACATAGTGACTGAGAATGAATCCTCAGTATATGTGGCTGCCTCGCTGGACCCCCTACCACCAGTCTTGCCCTTCTGTCTGCTCTTGTCATACTGCCAAGACTTTCCTCAAACACATTCCCTCATCCGGGTTCTCCAAAGAACTGAAACAACATGCTTTCCTTTTCCTGTGCTGAACAGTCCTAGGACCAGGCAAGATAACCTAGCTTCTTATTCCAAGAAAGAGCTGCTTCCAGGAGATAAGACTGTGAACCAACTAAAATAGCTTACTTGTCAAGACTAATAGTTTTCTCCTTAATAGTTGCTTCTAAGTCTTCACCTTATTCACCAATCCCAAGCCATTAGGTCATGAAACCATCACTTTTCCACTTTATAAACACCCAGGCTAATCCCTAAAACTCTACCAAAATTCTCATCTTATTTTCTTTCTCCAAAAAACTACTAAGACTCTGTCTAGTAGGTGTCCTCCCACTGTGCAGTAAGTCTAATGAACCTAACTTAATTAAACTAGCAGGTTATTCTAGTTGTCTTCTTAAAGAGAAGTGACTACAATTCCTAGTTCAAAAATATTCAGCAGCTCTTCACTATCTCCAGACTGAAATCATTTATTTGACAAGTAATTTGCTTAACTATTAAAAGCACATGTATTGGGGTGATTCATACCCCAATAAATCAGTTATTTTATATCCCTGAGCCTTAAGTTATTCTAAAAACTGGGATACTAGAAGCACCTACTTTTCAGGTAGCATGGTGTATAGCATGTAGTAGGTGCTCAATAATTGTTAGCAATTATTATTTTTTATCATTTACTATATATCAGGCATTATACTGCAAAAAGAAATCTAAGTCTTAGCTTCTTCCCTTAATATATTCAAAATCTAATGGGCAAATACTAGTGGTAAATTCAGTAGAATCTTATAGGCCTAGACTCTCTGAAGTTGTTTCATAGTACCTGTTCTGGAACCTAAAATTATACTTTATTAAAATGTTACTTTTTATATTGTGAACAACAGAGTGTATATAAAAGAAATAAAAATAAAACCTGAGAAGCTGCGTCCAGCTCGAGAATTAGCATAGCTACAATGTTCAGTTGTTAAATAAAGGCACATGGAAAATGTGTAGCACTAGGGATTAGACAGTGTGGGATCTTGACTTAGTTGGGACACTAGCTGAGTAGGAGATAACTCACTCTCTAAACCCCAGTTACCTCTTCTGTCAAGTGACAACACGATGACCAGGAAAATCCCTTTCAGCTGGTGAGTCCCTACTTTCTAGTCTATTCCTTCCTTCTAGGTTCAGTACAAAGGAGCACCTCTTCCTCTCTCCTGCCCATTTTTTCATTCTAAGTTTCTTTTCCCTCAGCTATCAAATATGAAGATACCTCCTGTACTTAAACTTAAGGAAAATTTTTCATTCAACTTACTGCTGACTCTACTCTCCTGTCTCCATCCTTTTATGCAACCCAAAACTTGCCAATACATGAATTGCTTGTGAAATTTCATTTCCTGATCACAGTCAGCTCTTTGTGGTCCTTTTCCAGATCTCTACACACTTTTGCAATTTCTCCCTAGAAAGTCACTAAGGCTTCCCAGACAAATTCAACAACTCTATCAAACTGCCAAGATGGCAGACAGCACTTCCTGAAAGCTCCCAAGGCTTTTAAGACGTTGCCCCATCCTCACATCTTCTGTGGCCCCATTCTGGAAACATCATTTTGCTTCCTTCCTCAAAAGAAGAATTATCAGTGAAATATGAGATCATCAAAAAAATGTTACCAGAGGGAAGAATAATTGCAATTAAAATGATAATGTCACAGCAATTCAGATATGAGGACATAATTTAGATATGATTTATGGAGAAAGAATGGAAAATATTGCTTTCCTTGTCATCAATCACATCCATTGCAATTCATGAGCAAAATCAATCTCCTCTTCCAACCTAACTAGGTACCTATCTTTTTTTGGCTATTGAAATGTTATTGGGTGGAGAACTGGAGTCTATACTACTCTGAATTCAAATCTGATATAAATGGTAGAAAATAAGCTATCTGTGGATTTGGGAAGACTTCTGTAATATGCTTCAAGAAGTTGTATAAAAGGGAGAGGAATAAAGATAAAAACAGTGATAAATGACCTTACAGGATGAACTCTGGCTTCTCAGGTCTCTCTGCAAGCCTCAGGGCCTCATGCATACCAGCAGCGGAGAGCTTCCGGTTGATGTTACGGTACTGGCAGCGGAGCAGGCTGCGGTAGGTCGTTCTCAGGTCTCGGTTAAAGAAGGCGTAGATGAAGGGGTTGATGAGGGAGTTGGCATAGCCCAGCCACAGACATGTCCTTTCCACCCACAGCGGGATGCAGCTGCAGGAGGTGCCACAGATGAAGGGCCTGGCAGTTGAGAGAACAAAAAAGGGTAGCCAGCACACGGTAAACGCTCCAACAATGATCCCCAGGGTAGTAGCTGCCTTCTGCTCTCTCTTGAAGATGGAGATGTTCTTCCTCTCCTGCCTGATCAGTCGGGACAGATTTGCACACTCTTCCACCTCCTTCTGGGCCTTCACCACGCCATTCAGGGAGATGACGCTCTCGGGCTGGGTGCGGGGGAAGCCAGGGAACCGGTGCTTGGCAGCGCTCTTCTTGGCAGCCTTGTAGATCTGGTAGTACATGAACAGCATGACAGACATCGGGATGTAAAACGCCACGGCGGTGGAGTAGATGGTGTAGCCGAAATCCTGGCTGATCAGGCAGACCTTGTCATCATTCACGTTCTGGGCCCATCCGAAGAGTGGGGGGAGAGTGATGGAGGCAGACAGCAGCCAGACAGACAGAATCATCTTTGCCATGCATTTTCCATTCTGTCTCACAGGGTATGTGAGAGGGCGGGTGATCCCAAGGTACCTAGGAGGGAAATGGAAAGAGGACAGGTGAATACTGGGATGTAAGTGGTCCACTGAGGAAGTGCTACCAGCCAGACACTAGTGCCATCCTTGCGACATCTCATCTAGGTAGGCATCATTATTCCCATTTTGCAGAAAGATGATCGGAAAAGTTATGCTTTCACTCAAGTTTCTACAATTAGAAGTCAGACGGAGAGCCCTCTGGCCCTAAAGTTAGTCCATGCTTTTTTCATACCTTGAAGTTTCTGATAATCCACACAGTCAAACATCATAAAGGTTAAATAACCTGCCCCTTCCCATGACCCACAGCCACCAAAACCAGCCAGGAGCAAGATATCAAGCTGGATGTGGGATATTGTAACACATTCTCAGAAATCAAAGTCTACCACCCTTGGATAATGATCCCATCGTGGATCACTTCTACTGTCTTAATTCAAGTAGCTTTTAATGCATCTTAACTTCCCCTTTATAGTGTAGCAAAAGCATTTTGTTCCACCCACAGAAATTGGTGAGATATTTTGGGAATCCAGGTTTGGGAATGGGAAGTAGGAAGTGATCATTTTTTTCCTATCCCAGAAAATTCTTACACAACACCAATGTCTGAGGAACATTCTTTAAAATAAAAACAGTTTGTCTCACTGTGCCAGTTTTGAGGTGGATCACAAGAAAGGGCACAACTCTGAAATATGTTAGGCAAACCTAACACTTTCCCTGTGCTTGGTTCTATATAGAGAATAAATATTTCTTCATTTCTATTATGAAGGATTTTAATGCAAAAGGCACTCAGAAAACAGAGAAAACATGTACAGTAACCTCTTTGGCCAAATGCTTAATATTTTTCAGCTTTTCAAAAAACTTTCCCTCTATATTTAATAGCCTTAGCTTTCATTTTGGGAAAGATGCACAAAAGCACTTGAGAAACAAAGACAGATACATGTTGGTCACTTTGTTTATACTTGTAAAAGATACACTCCTGAAACATGAAAAGGAAGGTATAGACAGTCCCTAATTTGCCAACAGATCATATTCTAAAAGTCAGTCAATTGGCAAATTAGAACTTAAGAATTTTCTGCTAGAAATACACTTGATACTTAAATTATCCCACATAAGTCCAAAATCCTGCTTTTACAAGGAAAATGAGTGTCACTACAACACTTGCAATGCAAAATTGAAATACAGTAAAAAGAAATAAGCCAAATTTGCTCATTCATCAAGAACATCTCTTAATTACTTCAACAAATATAGACATCCCTAGGTATTCACAGGGATCTGGTTCCAGGTCACAATCCCCATTACCACCATGAATTCCTAAATCTCTGGATTTTCAAGGTTCTTATATAAAATAGTATAGTGTTTACACATATCCTACATACATGCTCCCATACACTTTAAATCATGTTAAGATTACTTACAATGCCTAGTATGTTACACATACTATGAGCATGGCTGTTGTACTATATTGTTTATGGAAGAGTAGTAAAAAGAAAAAAACAAAGTCTTTATATGTTCAGTATAGTCACAACCACAGTAGGCCTAATTATATAGTGTACCATCAGCAGTTGGTTGAATTTGCAAATACAGAACATACAGAGAACTGATTGTATTAATGAAGCTCCTTCTAAATGACTGTTCTAAATGTCAGAGATACAGAAGTAAATAAGAGACAAAAATTTTGAAAGCAGGAGAAAGAGTAAAACACGTGGGATGAAGGGAAGGACTGAGTCCACAGTAATGCTGAAGGGGATCTCTGATGATTTCCAAGAGCTCAACCTGTTCATGGCACATGAGTGTTCATTTCATAAGTTCTTCCCTACCTTTTCCTTTTTAAGCTGACCCATAAGAACTATCCTTAGGTTAGTTTCCTTAGATCTATCGGATGAAGTTAGGATTATGTTTTGGCTCCCAAATAGAATGGAGAAGAGAAAGAAGGATTTTTTTTTTCCTGAGAATGCAAAAATAAGAACTACATAGAAAGCAAAAAGAGAAAAGGAATCAGGGAGAGAGAAATAAAAGGAAAATATTAAATTGGGATTGCTTTGTGGAATTATTTGAGTTTCAAGCTATGGAAACAAAGTTTTTGGAAAACAATTTAAAATATACAAGGTAACCCCCAAAGAAAGATATTGGTACTCTCTGGAGGCCCACAATTAAGCTGATCCTTGCTGAAGGCTGAATGCACACATTTCACTAAAACAAAACAAAACAAACAAACAAACAAAAAACTCCTTACCTTGCATTGCTTCAGGAATTTGTGGGTTTCCTGAAGGAAGTCCCTTACAGATCCCTCTTCTTGGATCTAGCCCTTGCTCTCTACCAGTCTCTCTGGAAGTAGGATTTGGGGCTCCTTCCTTGTTTTCCAGCTCCCCTATGCAGACTTTCTCAGGACTTGGAATAAAGAATTTAATATAAAAGAAGTAGTCATTTTAAAATTAGTAGTAAAAAAATGGATCTTCATGAATTCTGACAACTAACCAGCAATTCAGGTAAAAATAATATTGACTTCTTACTTTTCAACTTATTAAATACAAACCCCATGTGGATGAAGGATTAAAAAGTAAAAATTAAATCCTAATACTACTATGAAAAAGTGAATGTATGTCTTCCATCCTGAGATGACAAAGATTATTCTTAACTAGGATAAAAGCGCTTATGTCTAATTATTGACATGGAACCAACAGAAGACTGCATAGAAAATAACATATAGCCCTCAAATATAAGTAACAGTATTATATAATGTATTAACCTTACATGTAAAATTAGGTCTATGTTTATATCTGTGGGTGTATATATACATTGTGTGTGTATGTGTGTGTGCGCCGCATGCGCACATGCCTACTGAGATGGCCAAAGAATATCCACCAGAGTATCAATAGCAGTTTTACTGAAGTTATAGAGATTTTAGTGGTTTTAGATTTTATATATATATATTTTTTACTATGCTTGAATTTTTTTCAATGAACATATAAAAATTACTATTTTAGTTTTAAGAACAAAATAACACATTTAAGAAGATTCTGTGATCCTTTGCTGAGAGCCACGGCCAAGTCTGTATGGCCCCTGGCATTTTGGCAACAGTATTGATTGACAGGCGAGGCATTACTATCCGCCTCTGCCACAACTTTTGAGTTCTCCCACTATTTTGAAGTTCTCGTGGGGATTTCCGGGGATTCCCTGAGAGTTCCCATTGGTTGGGGAAGTGCAGGAGGAGGATTTTCCGGGAGAGAGATTTCCGGCTGGGGGTTCCTGGACAAGCCTCGTGGCGTTCGGGAGGATTCCCTGGGAGCTGTGTGAAGTGTTTTCCTGCAGTTTAAAAATAAAGTTTGTTCCTGCTTCAGTGGCTCGTGATTTGTGCCCAGCCAGACTGCGGCATTTGGTGGCCCGTACGGGGAACGTCTGAAGCTTCGGGGTAAGTGAAATTGCTTGCCCCTAAGGGAAGGCGAGAGAATGGGTGACCATTTTAAAAAACAATGTGTTCTTGTTTTGATTTGTTTTGTGTTTGTTTCAAGCTGCCTATCCCTAGAATTTTCTCAGGCAGATTGGGAAAAATGGTTGGCACAAGGTTTGAAGTTGTTCGCTGCTGGGAGCCATTAGCCAAGTAGGTCTGACAATTTCCTTGCCAGCGTACCCCATGTTGCAATGACATTGAATGTAGGTGACCTTGCTCAAGGACCAAGGCAGATTAGGGTGTTCCCGGTTTAAGATAATCGTGTTTAGGGCGTTCCCAGTTTAGGTTCCAGGTTTAAGGTTTAAGATTATTCCTGCTGGGAATAGGGCGTATCCTGCTGCCTGAGTTCCCCTTGAGTTCTCACGGGATTCAGAGTATTTTTTGAGAGATAGAAGCCCAGTGGAGGTGGATTTGGGCAGAGAATGTGGATTTGGGCAGAGAACGGGGATTTCCCCAGAACGTGATTGTAGACGGCTGGTGTGAGTTCGGGAATAAAGAGTTGCTGTTTGAATCTACAAGCTGTGTGGTGGCTCGTGATTGTGTGCCCAGCCAGACTGCGGCATCTGTGCCCAGCCAGACTGCGGCATTTGGCGTCCCGTGCGGGGAACTTCTGAAGCTTAGAGGTAAGTGAAATTTCTCACCCTTGAGGAAGAGCGAAAAAATGCGTGACCAATTCAAAAAACAATATGCTCTTGTGTTGATTTATCTTGTTTTTGTTTCAAGCTGCCTATCCCTAGAAATTTCTCAGGCAAACTGGAAAAAATGGTTGACTAAAGGTTTGAAGTTTGTCGGCCCTGAGGAAGAGAAAATTGATACAACGATTTTTTATTCCGTTTTTGTTTCATTCAGTTTCGGTTTTGTTTTCTGTTATCTTATTGGGTTGCGTTATCTTTATAGTAGATTAGAAATTAGCAAAAAACAAACCGAAAAGATGTTAAGTAAATTGTTAGAGGTACAGACCATGGAGAAAGACATTTTAGGTCAAGCCAAAGAGAAGGTCTCTCGAGCTAGTCAGACAGAGGAAGAAAATTTAAAGGAAAAGGGGTTGTTAGGAAAAAGGCCACAACAGGAGGCTGTTACTAACTCCGTTTTATCACAAGAGGGCGTAATTCAACCAACAGCCCCACCGATGGACACAGCTGAGTGGCCCTCAAACCACGTAGTTGATAAATGGGATCCTGAGACAGGACCTCAAAGATTAGCATGCCCTGTACTTGAACAGGCAGGAGAACAGCGAATTCACCGTGCTTTAGATTTTAAAACAGTGAAGCAGTTAAAGGAGGCTGTAACAACCTATGGTCCCCAAGCTCCCTTCACGGTAAGCATGGTCGAGTCCATTACTAACTTGGACATGACGCCAAAATATTGGGCTAGCATGTGTAAATCTGTTCTAAATGGAGGACAATATTTGTTATGGAAGGTTGCCAATAAGGAATTTTGCGCAGAGACAGCTAGGCGAAATGCAGCAGCCGGTTACCCTCAAAGAAATCTAGATATGTTGTTAGAAAAAGGACCTTATGAGGGTCAACGGCAACAAATTGAATATGATCCTGCTA